TTGATCGATCTAATCTATTTATACTAGTGATGACGTATGAGGCTAATGATTTTTTCAAGCCATGATCATAGTTGCACAATAACGTCGATATTGGATCATGCGTTGATAAATAACATGAAATTTGTACAAACCGGCAAATGGTGGCATATGATCATCTGGCACGTGCCGCGAAGCGGCACGTGCCAGCCAATCATATGCCACCATTTGCCGGTTTGCACAAATTTCATGTTATTTGTCGCTGCATGACCAATATCTTATATTTATTTCCCCAGGTGCACTTTAAATTATTTTATGTAAAGCAAGAATACTATTTATATTAGTAGTTTTTATATTTAATTTAATAGAAAGCTTTAATATTATATTTATTATAATATCTTAATACATTAAGAATATTTAATTGTAATTTCTATGTTAATATTAATATCTTAATATATTTAAGAATGTTTAATCGTAATTTCTACATTAATATTTTTATAGTTATTATATTAATTTGCAGAATTGAACAATTATTTAAAGACTTGTCACTATCTTTATTGTAACTCTTTTGTAATTTGGGGCTTGTTTGGTTTGGAGAAGTGTGATATAGAACTTTAAAAGGTTTGGACCATCATGTGGAGGTTTGGAAATCTTGTGTTTCTTTTTAGGTTTATGAATATTCAATTCTGTATTTGACGGCAATAATGCTAAAGGATTTCTCTCTGTATTCAAAAAATAGTAAACAATTTTTTAATTTATAAATTGTTTCATAAAAATAAAATATCTTACTTTTTTCTTTTACAGAAATATCATCTTTCTTACAATCATATTCTTTCTTATTATCAAGAAATTCTTTACCATAATCTTCTTTATTGTTAGAATTTACTTAAAAAGTATTTTTGCTCAAGTTTTCAGAAGAATCACAATTTGGAATAATCAAAGATACTGTATTGTGCATTATTTGTGGTATAAAAGTTTGGTATGGCATTACACCATTAAGAGTATGATGTCCTGAAAAAGGTATTATACAATCTGCAGTAATATTTAATTTGGTAAGGCTTTGAATAGCAGTATGTTGCAATGAATAGTTTGTGATCTTTCTTAATTACATTGATATTCTCGTGACATTGTAAATTTCATAAATCATATTTTTATGAGAGTGCCATTCTAAAGAACTATCAACAAACCAAATACCACACAAGTTATCTAATAAATTAAATTTAGTGCATAAATATTATAACTATAATAATAAAAATAATACAATTAATTAAAATACCTTTTTTAGATACTATTCATAAGAAAAATTCTTGTATAAAAAACCTAGAAAGATGTTTATTCATATAATAAAGTATGTTTGCAACAGAAGTAAATTTTCCATTCTGATCTGTGAAATTTCACATTTATGTCCTGCATTATCAAGATTTTTGATACCTCTGGCATTATTTTTTTTTTTTGGAATAATTACTTGTATTCCTTGATATTTTGTAATAGTTATATATGTTATTTTAAGGCATTGAGCATCACCTTCACAAAATCCACAAAGCAAGCAAAGTTAGAAATAAAATATTTTTGTTAAGGCTTGAGATAAGTTATTACACAATTCACTATAATTTAAAATATGACGAACTTCTTCAAAAGAAAGCAAATCAGATTTATTAGCAGATCGAGGATTAAGATCTTGAATTTTCTTGATTTTGCTATCTAAAGATTTTAATAATATTCCATAACAAGTTTCATCAAATAAATTAGAATGTGAATACATTAATGAATTATCTTTTAAGTAATGTGCAATTGCATAATAACAGTTATAGATCAATTTTGGAGAATAAGGCTTTATATTCTTGTAATATAAACCCAAAAAAATTGAATTAATTCATGTTCTAACTATGTTATTTTAATAATTGTGGTTATATCATAGTTCAAATTAATTGAAAATCAGTATTCTTTTAGAACTTGAAACTAATTATCAGTATTCTTCTTAGTATTTTTAATATTATTATATTTAATCATTTCATTAATAGTATCTTTGGTTACAGCTTCAAATTGATTAACTAATTTAGCATTAGACAAGTTATCAGTAAAAATATTATTGTTATATGATATAGTATTAGATAAATTATTATTATTATCATGTGCAATAATGTCGGATAAGTTGCTGCTTTTAGCTAATATAAAAGCCTTTTAAAATATTAACTATATTTATTATTAATACTGAAGTATACATATATTAGAATATTTAAAATAAATAATAAAAAGATAAAAAAGTACCAGCACAAAACTTTAATATGAATTACTATCCATTTTAAAAAGGTAGATATAGCAAGAAAAAAAATAACAAAAAATATTTATTTATATTAGTCATAAAATATCATCATGACATTATACAAAATAAAGAATAAAAGATTAGCAAAAAAAAGTTTATTTATATAAGTTATAAAACATTGTCATGATGTCATATAAAATGAAGAGTAACACTCTTATTTTCTACTGTGGAGAAATAAACTAATAAATCCCATCAGCCAGAGGCCCTTCGGGCCCCCGGCTAATTGGGGAATTTACCTTTTATTTTTGCTGCTATGGGAAATAAATAGTACTTGTCTACAAAGCCTTGCATTTAGTTAGATGCCACAGTTGGCTATGATTTTCTAACTATGTAAACTAGGTGCTTGAGTTGTTTAAAAGGATTTAGAATAGAGTATGCTATATCATATTGTAGTAAAATTCTTAAATTTTTATCAATTTCATATTATAATTTTAGTAAATCAGGTAAATATTTGTATTAATGATAATGAGAAATTGTTTGGTGTATATTTTATAGCCTTTACACATTGTTTGTTATTTTGTAATATTATTAGTAGAGATTTTTATACACTTTAAGTTATGTATAAACTTTTATTATTTCAATTTTTCATGTTATAAAACAATGTTGTATTGTATAACAATAATTTAGATAATGCTAATAAAATAATAGCTTTATATTTCTTGATAGTAAGTATTTACGAACTTGTATATTTCAAATATTACAGTTTATAAACATTTATTTTTCACTCACTGTACTCCAAATAATATGAAATTAATAATGAATAAAATGAATTCAAATATCTTAATTAGAGATTCTGAATCATGTATTAATGCACATAATCTTGAATAATGTACATTTTATTCTATCTCTAAGCTTGATATAGTATCTAAATATCTTATCTATTTAATTAGTATAATAAAGCAAGGATAAATATTCACTAACTTAATGAATTAAAATCTTCATAAATGAAATGAATATTTAATTAATATGAATAAAATTAATGTAAATAAAATAAATATTCAATTAAGATAAATATTTAATTAATATGGATTAGATTGGATTGAAATATATTTTTGTGTAGGTTTTAGATTTTAAATTAGTTCTGATCAACTAATCAACTATTATTCAAGACAATTTTGCTTACTAACAGACAAGATTTATTTTACTAACAATTAATTTACAGACAAGTTTATTTCATAAACACTATATTTCACCAACAAAGTAATTCTAGTCATTGTTGTTAGGTTGATTTAGAATTAATGTTAAGATTAGTGTAATTTATAATAAAAGTTGGTCAGTAAAATGAGCAGTGAGTAAAATATAATATCTATGAATAAACTCATAATAGACAGAAAAATTAACACAATAGATCAGTAATAAATCAAATATCTGTAAGATGCTTGAGGCCACTATCACATTCAAAACATCTTACTATGCTGATATTTTTTTTTGGCTTATTATACAATAATCTATAACAGCCTAGTTTCATATATTATTAATTAAACCTCAAATGATGAAATAACAAAACTAATGAAAGGTAATAAAGCTGGTGAAAGTAATAAAGATAATGAAACTGACAAAAGGTCAAAACTAACAAAAGCTAGCAAAACTGGCACATCAAAAATATTACCAGATTTACATGATAATAGAATAAAAGATTTGTCTCATGAGTCACATTGTTTATTATGTAAAACTAGAACATAATCATGCAGGTGGCTTTGTCACCTGTTTTAGTTATTATATATAGAGGCTAATTGTATTTTCATATTTAAAATAATTTGAATAAAATGATAAAGTGTAACTTGATAGTAAAGGTTCGCAACTTGAATAATCTATTTCAAATATCTCAATTTATAAATATTTATTTTCGCTTATATATGTCATAAGTGGAAATAAAATTTTCTGGGTTAGGGTTAGGGTATACATATGATAAATTCAAACCAAAAATGTTTTTTTTTATATAAATTCTGAATCCACTTAAATTTTATTTTTACTTATGACATATATATTTATATAGTAAAATTAAATAAAATGAATTCAAATTTCTTGATATATAAATGACTTATCTATTTTAATTGATGTAAAAAAACAAAGTTAATAAAGTTTTACAAGAATTCATAAATTTAATGAATTAGAATTTTCGCGAATTAATTTATATGAAATGAATACTTAATTGAGTAAAATTAATGTAAATAAAATGAATACATGTTATATCACCAACAGCTTAGCTCACTGACAATTACAGCTATTTTCATAAATTCTGGGACAACTAAAAATTTTCTCGTTTTCCAGAATTTTTTCAGTTTTGACCAGTAAATTACCTAACTCTCCAAAAACTACATTACTATCTCTGGACTGAGGGTTTAAACAGTGATATAGTTTCCAGAAAGCTAGGGAATTTACTGGATAAAACTGAAAAGATTCTGGAAATGAGAAAATTTTTAGGTGTCCCAGAATTATAAAAACAGCTATAATTCACTGACAAGTTCATTTCACTGACAATTAACATACTGACAAGTTCATTTCACTGACAATTATTTCACTGAAGCTCATTTTACCGATAAGTTTTTTTATAAATTATACTAACTTTAACTTTAACTTTAATTATTGTTCATTTTATATGATCATGTGAATTTTTTTGCCTTGATATTCTTGACATGAAATGATATCATCATTTGTCAAAACATCACGACAAAAACATCACACAGCTATATAATACAAACAATATTTATCATACAAAAATAATAGGAAAATTTTTAATTGTGAGTTAATACCACTTATGTGCTGCATAGCAGCACATGGAAATGACATTAACTCTAATGAAAAAAATGTCCAATATTTTATAATTCTAACTTTACACTAACAACAACAAATGACCAGAATTACTTTGTCGGTGAAATGGGATCCGCCTTACTTCACCGACAATCATTTCACCGAAAGCTCACTTAGCCGACATCACACCAAGTGACAATTTTCTAAAAATATATACCTGCAACTAATAAAACACTAATTCTAACCCTATATGATGTCGGCTAAGTAAACTTTTGGTGAAATGAATGTCGGTGAAGTGAGCAGCACTGGGTGAAATGTGCTGTCAGTGAAATGAACTTGTCGGTGAATTAATTGTCAGTGAAGGGATTGCTGGCGAAATGCACACCACTCAATAAAATAAATATTCGATAATTAGTGGAACTCTAGATTTTTAATATATAATAAATAATTAATCAGTTTGATCAGCTTACCGACAAACATTATAGTTAACAACAATTTATTTACAGATAAGGTTTATTTGGGATCTGATCATCTGACCAACTTATCAACAGTTTATTTCACCGAAGCTCATTTTACAGACAAAGTAATTCTGGTCAATATCATTAGGGTTAGGTTAGAATTAGAGTTAAAGATAGTGTAATTTATAAAAAAAAGCTTGTCGGTGAAATAGACTGTCGGTAAATTGAACTTGTTGATGAATAATTGTCGGTGATGTGGTGCCTATGAAATGATTGTCGGTGAATAATACAGACCTGGTTTATTTTACATTCACAGACAAAATCATTTCATAGCAATATATTTTACCAACAGCTCATTTCACACTAACCTTAAGTGGTATGCCTTTTATTCCAATGATAATGACCAGAATTGCTTTGTATGTGAAATGAGCTTTCGTTAAAATATACTGTTCATGAAATAAACTTGTCTTTGAATTTATAATCGGTAAAATAATTTGGTTTAATTAATTGTCGTGAACGTGATTATTATCGGTGAAATAATAAGACCAAATTGAATAATGAGCGATAATATCAGTGAATAAATCAAATATCTGTAA